GCTTTAGCCTCCTAGCGCTTTGTCCCAGTAGAGTTTAACAGTTGGGGAAATGGGATGAACCCGCATGGGGTCAAACAAGACCACAACAACATTGTTCAGGCTGTGTTTTCTTATTTTATGTATGCATCTTGCTGAGTTGCTTCGTTATTTCTTCCAAGAACTCATACACCTGACTGTCTCTCCTTACCGGAGGGGCTCATTGTGGTAGAGGACATCTCTTTCAATCCCAGGTAGGGCTGGGAATGACTCAATTCCTGGAATGCTGGTGCCTCTTGGTGCTAACTAGGGTGGCAAACTGGATCTGGCTTGGGAGCCAGACCTCTATATCCACTACCCCATGGGCTGAGCTTCACAGGTAGGCAGCATTGCCCACCTGTCAATCACCTAGCATCACAGTGATATCAGATCACCTATTTTCCTTTGCCGGTGGAGTTTGACATCAAAGTGAGTAAGGCATCGCAGCACTAGCAAAGTACAGGTGCCTGCAAAGTCCTTTTCAATACAGCTACATCTTTGTCTGCTTCCCACATCTGATGTTATTATATATGACACCAGGTGTAAGGGACTTGGCTGAAATGTGGAGGGATCCCACAGGTCAGAGGTTCTGCAATGCTAGTGTAGACAGTACTGGATTAAATGGGCCAATGCTGTGATGCCTACAGCTTCCTATATCCATTTTCTTAGCGAGAAAAGCTATTCAAGGTCGAATAGAAATAAAAGTCAGCATTATGCCTAGGGTACATTACACAGTCCTCCCCTCCACAGCACTTTTATTTATTTTTTATTTGGGTTTTGTGTAGGTGGATCCTGCTAATGTCAGCATAGAAGTCTTTTATTTCCAAGCGTCTGATTTGATTCGGACATTGCTATGGATGCCATTCAGGCGAATACCCAAGAGCAAAATTGGATAATGTTGTTATCCGCAAGGAGATTAAGTGATTTGATGTTGAACGTCACTCTCATATCTTAAAAGAAAAATAAGTTTTGGAATGCATGGAGTGGGGGAAAGGCATAGCTGTGGTGCGTCTCCTTGGTTGGGCTCTTAAAAGAATAATGTCCAGCAATGTCTTATGCCTGTGAGTCAAATTACACTTTTCCCAGCCACATCTTAGGAAGAGAACAGTGGAAGACACTGGTTGCCAGGCCTAATCTCTGTCATATTTCAGAGGTTGACAACTCAATGTTCAGAAAAAACATGTAGGACCTCAAATACAGCATTGCACTGTGGAGTGTTTGTGCGCAGGGTTCCAGCCAGCCAGTCATGCCCTTTTCCAGAATACACTGTTCAGACCTTGCCCAACCCAGTGCCCTCAATATTATTTTGGACTACAATTCCCAAACAGCATCAGCATGGTCAATGGTCAAAGTCAATGGGGGTTGTAATCTTCTTGTCACTTTTTTCCAGGATAATGAGGAACCGTTAATGAGCACTCTTTGAGTTCAGTCAGTCAACCAGCTACAAATCCACGTAACAGGCCAGCCCTCATTTTACCAGCTCTGTGAGAATATCATGGGTGGTTTTTTTTTCTTTTGTTTGGTCTTGTTTTTTGGTCAAAAGCTTGTTTTGGTTCTGAAAATTGCATGTAATTATATGCATGGACTTTAATTATGTTGTCAGCCACCTCATAAGAAGAGGTTGGGAGGCAGGAAATAAAAATGTTAAACAAATAAAAGCTTATTTTCTGCAGGTATAGATACCCTTTCTTCGCTCGCAGAGCTTTAATTTCTCACGTTCCCTGTGAAGAGGGATTGGTTGTTATATCACTCAGGGAACTGCAGCTCTGTCGCTCTGTGAGGAGAATAAGAGGTCTTCTAACAACTCTCAGCACCCTTAACAAACTACATCTGCCAGAAATCTTTGGTGTCAATGTGGTGTGAGATAGTATTGTGATGTCACACTCAATCTCAGATACCAGAGCTGCAGTAGTAGACTGCAGTGCACCTTGCTAGAGGCACTGTGGGGATTTCAAAATGGCAGCTCCAAGCCACCTGGTGGTGCTGCCCCTGGCCTGGCACTAGTGGGAATTTTGCCAAGTACCCCTCAGACCTAGAGACAACTCTGGCTGCAGAATTTGACCAAAGTGAGACCTATCTCAGCCCCTTGCTGAGCTTTACCGACGTCGCTGGAGCCTCAAGCTCGAGACGAATGTATAATCATCACATAATTAGTTATTATACTCCTGTTTTTTTATTTAAGGCATTTCTAGCCCAGTCTTCATTAAAAATAAATAAATCCCAGAGCGGGGTAGAGATACCCTAAACAAACAACATGCAGACAGACACCATAAGCAAAGAAATCAGAAGCACAGTTGCACAGTCTTAGCCCCAGACGTAGAGTATGTGTTTGTTTTTTCATCTGAAAATGGCAGGGCCAGGTCATATCATTTGACCTGCTCTTGAAGTTCAATTGACCTTGTTATCTTGGCATTATTTTGTTGTGCACCTCCCAGCTTTTACTCCAGCCTACATTCATGGTTTTTGACAGTAGGAGCAGGCAGTTCTATGGAGCATCTGCTTTGCAAGCGGAAAGTCCCAGGTTCAGTCCCCAACATCTCCAGGTAGGGATGAGAGAGAACCTTGTCTGGAACCATGGACGGCCACTGCAAGTAAGTACAGACAGTCCTGAGGTCAACTGACCAATGGTCTGACTCCGTATAAGTGTCATGAGTATCCTCCCACGCTTGTTCCCAATGTAGATCTTCATCCCTGCCTCACATTCAATGTAGATCTTCACTCACCACTTCTTCCTTGGTAAAAGGGTGCCATTTTGTGGTTCACCTCAGGTACCAAAATGTTTGGGACCGGCCCTACATCTAGCTCACTATTGTTTATAGTAACTGGTAGATGCTTTGGGGAATTTCCCCCCAGCCCTACCTGTAAATGGCAGGGACTCAGCCGGGGACCTTTCTCAGACAAAGCACATGCTATAGCCCTGAGCTGCAGCCCTTCTCAGCTGGATTGCAGGGTTGTTGTAAGCCTTACTCCCACTCCATAATGGTAATTTTACTATTTATACCCCAAATATCCACTCTGGGCAGCTTCCAACATATATAGAAACATAATAAAACATTAAACATTCAAAAAAACCTTCCCTATACAGGATTGCCTTCAAATGGCTTGGGGGTCAGATAACTCCACACCCTCCAACATTTCTCCATTGAAAATAGGGGGAAGTGGGACATTCTGAGATCAAATCAGAAACTGGGCTCAACCATCCTTTCCAATTTGCATTGTGTGGATAATGACACTGGGGCACATTGTCAAGTTGTCAAACACTGCTCTCTGCTCCCAACCCAGCTTGCAGTATATGAGTTTTAACAATCTGATATTTACATTGACAGTTCTATTTTTTTTTAAAAAAAAAGTTCATGTTGTTTATATATATGTGCATGTTTCAAAAATGCAGTATAAAGAAGAATAATAAAAAACACTATCACAATTACCATAAAACAACACTTCAAAATAGCAGGGTCAGTCATATTTCACACACACAACACCGTGCAAGTGTGTTTGTTTGTTTGTTTGTTTGTTTGAGGGGGGAAATTATGAACTTCTTCCTGCCTTTGCTCCTGCTTTGGGACACAGGCACTACTATGAAATCATTGCAATGATAAATTGTTCCATTGTCTCTTACAAGAATTTGTCATATTTTAGTATCCTCTTCTAAGCCGGCCATTTAGTTCTGGAGAGCTACATCTAGTGTACCAACATAAATTGGTAATCTCTCTCTTTTTTGGGGGGGGGGGTGTAGAGAGTATATTACTTATATTGGGCTATAAATCTTTTTTTCAAAAAAAATAAAATCATTTAAAAAAATGAAACCCATAAAAATTGAAGCAAAAGAAAGTGTGGGACAGAAATGTCCTTTTTCTCCCACCATTGCCTGACCAGACATTTTGCTCTCTGCTTCTTTTATGAACCGATGTCAAAGAGCAGCCTGACATCAGCGCCTATCTTTCAAATCTTTCAACGCCACTTCTCAAAAGGTCCTCTAGACTCTTGACATAAGCAGGATTGTTCTGTATTAAGAGTAACGGTGGCTAAGCAATCATGGAGAACAGTACGGAGATGCCCCTCCATCGATCTTCAGGAATGAGAAAACTTTTGTCAGGAGATATCATCATTTTGCCAATGCCTGTAGAACTGCTTAATGGACCAAGAAGCCTTATTATTATTATTTTTCATTATTTTTGCACGCACATTTCTGGAACACATCTTATAGGGAGAAAAAATGCTTTCCCTGGCACTGAGATTTTTTTTTGCAGAGACATTCCCAACTCAAAGAGCGAAGGAAGTGTGTGTGTGTGTGTGTGTGTGTGTGTTTTTATTTTATTTATTTATTGCATTAGCCGAGTGGCCATAGCATGATATACATTGAAATAACAACATAAAATGGGGGTGGGGAGGTAAAGGTAGACATCGTCCTGGGCGAATACTTAAAGAAAGTGAAAAAAAAGAAAAAAAAAGAAAAAAAAAAGCTGCTGAGGCTGGAGAAGGACCGTTAAAGGGTCCTACAGCTCCTCAGATTAGTCCTAACTCGATTGTCCTTGTACAATAAGGCTACTTGGAACTTCGTTCGGTTGTGCGGCGTATCGACTGCATCTGTGGTGTTAAGGAAGAAGTTAGTGCCGCTTTCCTCTTCATCACACTAAGCAGGAAATTAGCTGTCATCTCAGTAATCCAACAATCAGAATCCTGCAAAAAGAGGGACACTATCCAAGGCTGGATTGGGAGATGGAACTTATTCACGAGGGGAGTTAAAAACCGAGATCTTTCATCTGTCCAGTTGGGACAGAAGAGCATTACATGTTCCATAGTCTCCAGGGCCGTGTCATTACAGGAGCATGTTCTGTTTGCGATGGGAACTCTGGAATAACGACCCGACAGAACTGCTGTAGGAAAACAGTTGAGACGGGCACAGGTAAAAGCCCTTCGCTTAGTCTCCGAAGAAATTGTGAAGCAGTATAGAGGGATCCCTTCAGGGGGTGGAATAGCTAGGGCTAGGCCTGAACACGGTCCTCTTGCACAAGAAGCTGTGCTGGAGAAGTCAAGTTGCTGTAGTTTCTTTTAATTAGGGGTAGGGCCACCGGGCTGATACACTCTAAGTTAAGAACAGTTTTACAATTCAAATTGAGAAGAGAGCGGAATTTGAGGTTAATTGTAGTTTTCCAAGGGGAATTATGAATATCTCTTAGGATCAGATTGGAAAAGCCACCTCTAATTCGAGCATCCGATGCTAATAGGTGGAGGGTGTAGGAAATGGCTCGGCTCCATGCTCGTCTAGCAATTGAAGGCTGGGCGAACTCGAGTCGTAGGGCTGCACCTGAGACACATCTCGGGACGCCGGAAAGAGATCTCAGAAACATATGAAGTGGACGATCCAGGTTACCTGATATTGCTGTAGTCCATACTTCACATCCATATAATAATTTAGGGACGACTTTGGCATTAAATATTTGGATTGCTGCTGGAAGGTGTTTGCCGCCCTTCTGGTGGTAAAATCGGACAATGGCGTTAGAGGTCGTGGTTGCAGCGAGAAAGGCAGATTGTAGATGGGTGGTCCAGGAGAGATTATAGGTGAATATTAATCCTAGATATTTAAAGGCTTTTACCTTTTCTAAGTAGCCACCTGTGATCTTAAGCGGCTCCAACTTGAGTTTGCGGGAACGAGTGAAGTGGAGGACTTTCGATTTTTATAATTAATATTAAGAGCTTCCGCCTTACAATAGGCGATAAATGCATTAACTGCATTTGCTAGATCCGCAGCTGTTCTGGATAAGATGACGGCATCATCAGCATAGAAAAGGGAAGCAACGGGGTGGCCTGCTAAGTGAGGAGGATACTTAGATGCTAGCTTCAAAGTGGAAATTGCATCATGAAGATAGAGATTAAACAGTAAAGGGGCCAAGAGGCAACCTTGTCGGACGCCCTTGGCCGTTGGAAATGGAGTAGTGGGGGAGCCGTTTGGACTAGTTCGGACGCGAGCTGTGGTGTTTGAATAAAGGGAGATAATTAGGGAGAGAAGGTGTGGATCAATTCCCAGATGGGCAAGTTTGGACCATAATCTCTGCCTAGGAATGGAATCAAAGGCGGCCTCCAGGTCCATGAAAGCGGCAAATAGGTGGCCTTGCCTTGGAGCAGTGTATTTACTGGCAAGGTGAAAGAGAGTTAGACAATGGTCCATGGTTGACGCTTTACTCGTTCACCAATGTGTTCTAGCGGTAGAATGTTCCTCTCCTGGACCCATGAGAGAAGTTCCTCCAGTAAAACAGCGGCAAATATTTTCCCGGGATGGATAATAAGCTGATGGGGCGATAGTTCCTAGGGATGTTTGGCTGGCCGCCTTTGAAGATCGGAACTATTATAGCTTCTCTCCAGGAGTCGGGGATGTCTAGGGCGGAGGAGATAGCGGTGAATACAGGAGTCAGGTGTTCGCTCCACCAAAGAGGATCAGTGTGTGTGTGTGTGTGTGTGTAGTGGTTAATTGAATCACAGACAGTTGGTTGGAACTTGGAGACTAGGGTCCACGCTGTCGTTTATTACACTTTGCCCACTGCTTGGGGCCACTTACATCGGAGAGTTTTTGATGCCAATTGCAGCGTTCTAATTGAGCTGCCCAGACGTAGAGGAATTGCTTTGTGCTAAAGGAAAATGGCTGGCGGAATTGCAAAAAAATTTTTAAAAAAAAATGTTATTACCAGGGGGGTGGCAGGGAGTGTAGTGTACTTTCCTGCTTTTTGAAATGTCATACTCCCAGGCACCAATTTATCTGACTTACATTATATTGCTACAAATAGCCGGCGAGTGTAACCGGGCCATTTTTCACAATAAAGGTACTTTCAGAACTGCTATTTTAGTTCCATAATGATTGTACAGATCTATTTATTATGCATTTGTGTTTCCTTTCTAAGTAATACCTTGCTTTTGGCAGTGCGTTGGAATGTGTGCATGATATTAATCAGGGTGGGCTGCTTAGTTCACCGTGAGCCTGCATTTCGGGGAATGGAGAGGAGAAGAAAGTTAATGTGCGAACGTAATGCTGTTTGCACAGGGGTGGTAAAATCCATAGGGCGGGGGATTAAGAAATCTTTTTTTCCTGTTCTTCTAATTTCATCTCGTTTCCACTCTTCATAGCAGCATAATGGCTGTATTGACGGTGGGCGATGAGATCGCACAGACTGCAGAGCGCAGCACAAAATGGATATATAAAAGGTCAATAAGGAGAAATGGCAATGCCCCTCTCTTGGCTCATTTGGCTTTTGGGTCAGTGTACAAGATGTTGCAGCACAGGCAAACCCGTCATGTATCAGAGGACCAAAGGCCACCTTTGCTTTCCATCAGCCCAGGCCTTTTTTTTCTTTCCACTGCTTGACGCTCGAAGCATCAGCCAAGTCCTTGATGAAGAAGCAGAAGAGATTGCGCCGCGCTGTCGTTTGCCTGGTGCTCTGTCCGCACTTTTGCTGGGCTGAAGTGTGCCAGAAGTGCAAGCATGAGAAATATACCCGCTAAAAGCAGGATCAGTGTGGCACACAAGGACAACCTGAAGCTAACACCAGAGAGCCAACCAGAGTGGTGTCCATAGTTCTCCCCCTTCCTGTGTGTTTTTTGTTTTATTTTATTAACTTTCAAGAAACAGGATATAAGCATAAGCAAAACATTATCAAAACAACTGGTTTCTCTACCACCACCACCCCAGAACAGAAGGTCTGTACAGCAGATGTTCCCATAAATTTATACACTCTATAAGACGCACCTGACCATAAGATGCACCTAGTTTTTAGGGGAGGAAAACAAGAAATAAGAAAGCAACGCAAAGCCACATGATCAAGAGGGAGCGCTCCTCCCTCTTCGCTCAGGAGGCTTTGCGGGGCTATCCCTAAAGCCAGGAGAACAAGCGGGATCAGTGCACACCGATCCCTCTTGCCCTCCTGGCTTCAGCGAAAGCAAGCCTACTGGCTTTCCCCCCACCTCCCGCAAGAGCCGTGCGCTCTTTAAAGGGAGCGTGGCTCTAGGGGGCTTTTCTGGGAGATGGGGGAAGGGAAGGCTCCCCGCTGCCCTGCGGAGGCTCCGCACAGCTAAGCCAGAAGCTAGAACAACAGAACAGCCAGAAGCTGTTCTGGCTTCTGGGATAGCCGTGCAGCCTGCATTTGCTCCATAAGACGCATACACATTTCCCCTTACATTTTAGGAGGGGAAGTGCATCTTATAGAGCGAAAAATATGGTAGTTCTTGGGTGCTGGCCGTCAGGGTGTTCAATTGAATACTTTACAAAGGGATGCCATATTTTAGCAAAATTGTCTGTCTCAGTTGCATCATCCAAGGCATGTACTCTAATCTTAGTTTCCTCACAACAACCCTGTGAGGTAGGTTAGTCTCGGAGACAGTGACTGGCCCAGGGTCACCCATTGAGCTTCATGGCCGAGAAAGGATTTGAACCCTGGTCATCCAAGTCAACATCCAGCACTCTAGC